AGATGGAAGCGTCATCCAAAAAGCTCTGTAGTTGACTCGCTACCGCCCTCTCTATTAATTTGCCCAAATAAAGCAAATTGGAAACCGGCGATAGTTGGCCAATTCAGCTGGATCCAGAGATGGTTTTTTCAACAGAGGGCGGACCACTGCTTCCTTAAGCACCCCAGGGAACTGTCCCTCAGTGAGGGACTTGTTGATAATCTCCCTCAAGGTGCCTTGAAACCCATCACGGCCAGCTTTAATTAGCCACGATGGGCATGGATCAAGGCAGCATGTGGTATGGCGAACAGCTAGGAGCAGTTTGTCAACTTCATCTAGGCTGAGTTTATTATTATTATTGAGTTCAACATTTGTATAAATAGGGAGTTGCCCAAAAAGACTAACACAAGCACTTTTAACTTTAAAAGGGGTAACTTCTCTAATATGAGGGGACATGTGAGGAGGAAACTGAAAGGAAAAGTAGAAAGGGTCAAAGCCATCGGGGAAGGTTGGAGACTATTTAAAACTACAATCCTAGAAGCTCAGAAAAAATATATATACCGCAGGTTAGGAAAGGCACAAATAGGTATAGAAAAAAGCCTGCATGGTTAACAAACAAAGTAATGGAAGCTATAAAAGGTAAGAAGGATTCCTTTAAGCAGTGGCAAGCTAGTCTCAGTGAGGTTGATAAAAGGGAACACAGGCTGTGGTAAATAAAATGCAAGTCTGTGATCAGGCAGGCAAAAAGGGAATATGAGGAGCATATAGCAAAAAAACATAAAGACCAACAATAAAACTTTCTTCAAATACATTAGAAGCAGGAAACCAGCCAGGGAGGCAGTGGGGCCCTTGGATGACTAAGGGGTAAAAGGAGTACTGTAGGATGATAGGGAAATGGCTGAGAAGCTAAATGCATTTTTTGCCTCCGTCTTCACTGTGGAAGATGAGAAGTGCTTGCCCACTCCAGAACCGCTGACTTCGAGAGGGGTGTTGAAAGACCTGAGTCAGATTGAGGTGACGAGAGAGGAGGTCCTAAAACTGATAGACAACTTAAAAACGGATAAATCACAAGGCCCGGATGGCATACATCCATGAGTTCTGAAAGAATTCAAACATGAACTTGTGGATCTCCTGACAAAAATATGTAATCTTTCCTTAAAATCTGCCTCCTTTCCTGAGGACTGGAAGGTAGCTAATGTCACTCCCATCTTTAAAAAGGGTTCCAGAGGAGATCCGGGAAATTACAGGCCAGTCAGTCTGATGTCAATACCGGGTAAATTGGTGGAAACTGTTATTAAGGAAAGAATTAGTAGGCACATTGATGAACAAAACCTATTGAGGCAGACTCAGCATAGGTTCTGTAAGGGAAGAACTTGTCTCACTAACCTGTTAGTGTTCTTTGAGGGAGTGAACAAACATGTGGACAAGGGGGACCCAATAGATTTTGTTTACCGACTTCCAGAAAGCTTTTGATAAAGTTTTTCATCAAAGGCTCCTAAGTAAGCTCAGTAGCCATGGGATAAAAGGATAAGTCCTTTTGTGGATCAAAAACTAATTAATAAGAAACAGAGATCAAGTATAAATGGGCAATTTTCTCAGTGGAGGGTGGTAAGCAGTGGGGTACCACAGGGATCAGTACTTGGTCTAATGCTTTTTAACTTGTTTAGTAATGATTTGGAGTTGGGAGTAAGCAGTGAAGTGGCTAAATTTGTGAATGACAAGAACTTGTTCCTGGTGGTGAAAAGCAGGGGGGATTGTGAGGCACTCCAAAGGGATCTGTCAAGGATGGGTGAGTGGGCATCAATGGTGCGACCTCATTTGGAATACTGTGTACAGTTCTGGTCACCACCAGGGCCGGCCCACCCATAGAAAAATTTAGGCATTTGCCTAGGGGCACCACCTCATGGAAGGGCGCCCTGGCCTGCTGTCCCCCCCCCCCGCCAAAAGCCCTGCTTTGTTGCAACTACGGGGCTGTCTTGGCACCCCTGGGCTTGGTCTGCTCCAGTGGGGTGGGGATTGGCTGCTCTGACTTCCAGGACTCCCTGTCCACCTGGAAGCCCCCCCGGAAGCGCCCCACGCAGCATCTTTCCCGGGCAGGACCAACCCGCAGCTCCCACAAGCCCTTGCATGATGAGGTGGCTGGAGCAGGTGAGGGCACCACAGTCTGACCCCTGGCAGCCACTCCAGCGACCCTCTGGCCACACCAAGTGCCTTTGCCGCACCGCCACGGGCTCAGCCAAGAGGTTTGTTTCTTGTTTAAAAAGAGTGGAGTGGGGGAGAACCCATGAAGGTGCTTGAGGGGGAGGGGCCTTTGAAACCTTGCAAGCGGTGCTTCCCGGCTCATTTCAAGAGTGGCTTCCCCATGGAGCCAAAAGTTCCCCCGTTCAAAGGAAGGGGGTGACTTGGGTCCCAGATGCCACGCTCTGCCTTTTCCCCCTCGTAGAGGCAAGGAGATGTTCGAGTCCATTGCAGAGACATGAGCAATTTACAAGGCTTGCCAAATTCTCTTTGTGCCCCGGAGCTGGGGGGAGGGTTAGGGGCTGGTAGAAGCAGCCAGGAGCACAAACTCCTCACTCCAAGTTCTGGTAACCCAGTCCACAGTCAACAATTCCTTCCCAATGCACAGCTAGTGGCAATGCAAATTAAGCCTTATTGTTCTCATTGGTGCCAGATTCAAAACTGAACTCCAGTGGCACCTTAAAGACTTCCAAAATGTATTCCAACATGAGCTTTTGTGAATCAGAGCTTACTTCTTCACTACACCAGTTTGGTGTAGTGGTTAAGTGTGCCGACTCTAACCTGGGAGAACCAGGTTTGATTCCCCACTCCTCCACTTGCACCTGCTGGATGACCTTGGGCAAGCCATAGTTCTGATAAGAGCTGTCCTTGAAAGGGCAGTAATTGAAAAAGCTCTCTCAGCCCCACCTACCTCACAGGGTGTCTGTTGTGGGGAGGGGAAGGGAAAGGAGTTTGTAAGCCACTCTGAGACTCTGAGTGAAGGGCGGGGTATAAATCCGATCTCTTCTCTTCTTCTTCTTCATTAGAAGGGAATCTTTTCGGGGATTTTTATAACAAAAAGCACAGGGAGTAGGGGGAGGAGCTAGAGCATAGAGGGGCTGTCCCTTACCCAGGAAATCATGCCTGAATATTCAAAATTAAAAAAATAAATAAATTAGCAATTTCAAATTTGGTGTTTTTCATTCTTCCTAAAATGCATTTATATTTGAAAATTGGTGGCCGCATTGGGGGGGGGGGCACCAGAAGGTATCCTCGTCTAGTGTGCAAAAAAACCTGGGGCCAGCCCTGGTCACCACACCTCAGAAAGGATATTATAGCATTGGAAAAAGTGCAGAAAAGGGTAACTAGAATGATAAAAGGGTTGGAACACTTTCCCTATGAAGAAAGGTCAAGGTGCTTGGGGCTCTTTAGCTTGGAGAAACAACGACTGAGGGTGACATGATAAAGGTTTACAAGATTTTACATGGGATAGAACAGGTCGAGAAAGAAGTACTTTTCTCCCTTTCTCACAATACAAGAACTCGTGGGCATTCAATGAAATTGCTGAGCAGTCGGGTTAGAATGAATAAAAGGAAGTACTTCTTCACCCAAAGAGTGATTAACACATGGAATTCACTGCCACAGGAGGTGGTGGTGGGTGGCTACAAGCATGGACGGCTTCAAGAGGGAATTAGATAAGCATATGGAGCACAGATCCATCAGTGGCTATTAGCCACAAGGTATAGATAGGAACCCTGGGGCAAGTCTTCTTGGTGCTAGGGTGGGGCAACAGTGGGAGAGCTTCTAGTGTCCTGGCCCCACTGCTGGACCTCCTGATGGCACCTGGTGTTTTTGGCCACTGTGTGACAGAGTGTTGGACTGGATGGGCCATTGGCCTGATCCAACATTGGCTTCTCTTATGTTCTTATACATGCAAGCAACCCAGATTTTGAGGTCGGGTGGAATCAGCATAAAGATGTCACATGTGGACATTGCCACCAATGCCCCTAGACAAATGTCAACCTGGGGAAACCAGTGGAGAATTCCTCTTGTCTGACATTCGTTAATTCTCCTTTGCACCCCATCCACTTCCTTTGCACTCTACATTAAAGATACTAGATACAAAGAGTCACATGATCTTGAGGAAATAGTTTATTGGCCAAATCCTCCCTTGGTGAGAGATTTAAATGAGCATCCCACTTTCTGATTGGGCCATAGAGAAACTCCCTGCTCCTTGAAACAGATGCTGGCAAAGAGGAAGCCTTTGTCACTCTTTTGCCACCTATTCTTTTAGGTGCCTGCTGTGCAAAAGGTGATCAGTCTCTGGGGGAGGAGGCATCTTTTATTTTAGGTAGCAAGAAACCAGTTGTTTTATTTTACTTTCCGTGTTCTGTAGCATCACCTCTTAGATTTCCCCATTATCTTATTATGTAGAATCAAACCTTTCCCTTCCATTTGTTCTTTGAGTAGGAGAGATACTCTGAATTATTCTTCCTCATGAGCCTGCTGCTCAAGCACATACTACAAACTGAGGGAGAAAAGGGTGAGATGGGTTCCTTTTCCCTATCTCAAGGTCCTTTCGCACATGCAGAATAATACACTTTCAGCCTACTTTCAATGCTCTTCTGAACTGGATTTTACAGTGTGAAATGGCAAAATCCACTTGTAAACAATAGCTAAACTGCATTGAAAAAATGCCCTCAAACATACAGACAGTATTTAAACAAGAGAATTACCAGCTGGCTGAAAGCAGTCTATTAATATATCTACAAGCGGTACGTGGTGGCAGGAAGTACTGAAAAGGTATTTTATGGTCTAGGAGCATGTGTTGCACACATGATGCCTCATACAAGGATACCGAGCGGATCCAGAAAATGGGTAATTGTAACAAACACATTCTTCATTTCTGCTTGTGAGGTTGTGATTTTAAAAAGGAAAAGGAACCTTGCATCATCAGCAATGAGAGAGAAGTTAATTTATCAGCAACAGCAAAGCCTTCTATAATGAATTAGGTATTTTGGTCTCTACTCTGGATGCTGCTTCAAAGTAACAGAGGCCCCACTGCTTACCATAACCGCTGGGTACAGTGGCTCAGTGAATGTGGTGAGGAAACGGTAGATGAGGTTGATGGTGCTGCTGATGCCATAGAATGTCAAGGAGCCACCGGCATAGTCTACCAAGACCCCGATGGTTTTGTAGAAGTTGCCTTTTACCATGGTTTGGATGTTATTGTTCCAAACGGAGAATTTCATCGAATCCCACTCCAGACACCATGAATTGTTATTCCTGCCAATTAGGTAGAACATATACCCTTTTTCAGTTTTATGCCGGTAGTTGTAGGTGACCCCCAAGCACAGCCAGGCATTTGAAATCTCAGCCTCCCAGTAATGGCAGCCCTCGCAAAGGCTATGGCTGCACAAGAGCTGTGGCCAGTGGTTGAACCCTTGGCTGGGTTGTGAACAGTTCTCCAGCAGGATGCCCATATTCAACACGGAGTGGGTCTCCTTAAATAGGAAGAGCTCTTCATTGGCTGTGCTGGCATCAAAATTCAGGTTACGGTAATCTGTTTGATGGAAAATTAAAAAAAAGAAAAAGTATCAAAAGAAGCCAGTCTCTCTCTGATCAGGAGTGAAGATATCAGATATTACAGTGGAAAAGGTCAAGTGAGCAAAGTGTGTTAAAAATCATACATTAATTAAGAACCTGAAAGGTTAACTGAATACAAATTAGAGGGCCCAGTGTTAGAATCAATAAGAATGTAACATAAATATATATTTATGTTGTATACTTATTTCATTACACTGGTTCTATATGGCTTTCGGAATTCTATCTCCTGGACCAAAATAGGAGGGTACGCAATTGAAACTCCATTTTGGTTACATGTACCTGAATTGGGACAAGGCAATGTCATATGAGGCCTTTATAGTATATTCTTGCTTTGTGTCACTGATATTTCTCAGAACATAATTTTCACTTGGTCCTATATGGATGAATATGAGTATTGCAATAATTGAGCCTACGTGTAACATTTATGCTTGACCACTGTAGGCGGTCAATAGGCCAAAATGTGTCTGTATTAGGGTCGCATAAGGTCCTAATTGTGCATATTGTATGATTTGAAGTCTTATTGAGGCTATATTTCTGCCTATAATTGTTGTTAAATCAATTTGTAATAAATACCTGTATTTTTATATAATTTGTATTATCTATATATTTATGTTGTATACTTATTGATTTTAACATTGGGCCCCCTAATTTGTATTCAATTAACCTTTCAGGTTCTTAATTCATTTTTTTTGGGTTAAGTTTTTGTTCTCCTTCTTCTTTCTCTATTAAAAATTATACAGTCACTGGGACCAGAAGGGCATATGTAGGTAAATCATTTGCCCCTTGCCTGGAGGCAAAAATCTCCACAAATTGTACCACATCCAGACTATACCTCAGTCACTCTATGGAACAACATCACTTAGACCTCATTTCTTTCATGTACCCAAGGAGATCAGGGTGGCATAAGTAGAGTTTTGCCATTTTTATGCTCACAACAGCAACAACTTTGTGAGGCTTATAAATGGTGATTGGCTTAAAATCACTCGGAAACCCCCCTGTTTGTGTGGAAGTTTGAATCTGGGTCTCCCTCGTCTAAGTCCGATGCTTTATTCAGTACATCCCATTGGCTCTTTGTAGCATCTAGACTTGTGCTGCAAGCAAACACCAGCAACTAAATAAAGTGACCCATGTCGAAAGTGCCTAGAAGAAGTTAGTACAGTGAACTGTGTGGCTTAGGGTTGCCAGCTTCGGTTTGAGAAATACCTGGAGATTTTGGAGGTAGAGCCTGGGGAAGACAGAGTTTGGGAGGTCAGGAACTTCAGCAGGCTGTAAAGCCGTAGAGTCCACCCTCCAAAGCAGCCATTTTCTCCAGGGGAACTGATCTTGGTCATCTGGAGATCAATTGTAATAGCAGGAGATCTTAGGGATGCCAGTCCCCAGGTGCGGGCGCGGGATCCCTTTTCACTGGCAATGAAGGTGGGATTAATCTCCCTTTGAACAGAGACCACGTTCCAAGCATTGCATCGAGTCTCCGTGCCAAGATCACCGCACGCCGCTTCACGTAGTGCCGCATCCTGGTTGCTGCTCACCGCACCGCTCACCGAGCATCGCACTGCTAACCCCGAGAGCAGCACTGCACCACTCCTCAACAATGATCGTTGCCACAGTTCCCACCGTTCACATCCTCGTGAAATCGTAAGATGGCTGCCGCATCCGAGAGCCTCCCTGCCTTCGACATCTCCCAACCCTCGCAGTGGGAAACCTGGCTGGAGACCCTCGAGAGCCACTTCACCATCCACGATGTCACCGACCCAGGTAAGAAGAAGACGTACCTTCTCCGGCACTGTGGGATGGAGGCCCATCTCCTACTGAAGGACCTGATAGCGCCCCGGCTGACCAAAGACGAATCTTACACCTCTTTGGTCAAGGTGCTTTCAGATCACCTGGCTCCCAAACCCACAAAGTTTGTGGAGTGGATGGACTTTTTTGCAAAAGTCCAGGGCTCTGATGAGGGCCACCCTTCTGGACCAGCCTGTCCACGTCAAAGAAGTAGCTCGCTGCATGGCCAAGGACAAGGTACTCAGCAGCATTTTTGACTGGGTGGTGATGGGGTGGCCCTCGGCCAAAGGGGAGCCGGGATTCACGGCATTCACGTCCTGGTGGGATGAACTATCGGTCCACCAGGGCTGCGTACTGTGGGGAAACCGGGTGGTCATCCCTATGCCATTATGAGAATGGGTTCTCACCGCCCTTCATGAGTCCCATCCCGGGGTGGCGTGCATGAAGGCCCTGGCCAGAAGTTACATTTGGTGGCCGGGGCTGGACCGGGACGTTGAGGACATAGTAAAAAGGTGCCAGGCCTGCCAAGCGTCCCAGCCGGAACCACCCAGGGCCCTGGAACAAGCCTGGGAATCCTTCCACCAACCCTGGTCCAAGTTGCACTTGGACTTTGCGGGACCTTTCCAGGGCCAACTCTTCTTCATCCTGGTGGATGCCTACAGCAAGTGGCTAGAGGTAGTCCCCGTGCCCTCCACCTCGTCTAAAGTGGCAATCTGGGCGATGTGGCGGATTTTCAGTGCTCAGGGCATCCTGGACACCCTGGTCACGGACAACGGGACTGCGTTCACATCCAGCGAATTCCAGGAGTTCACCCGGTACTACGGGATCCGCCATGTCCGGTCAGCCCCATTTCACCCTGTGACCAACGGCCAAGCGGAGCGTATGGTAAGGACAACCAAAGACGCACTCTGCCGTTTGGACTCACAGGACTGGGACTATAAATTGGCAGCCTTCCTTTTTGGCCAATAAATTACACACCACACCACAATGGGGCGCAGTCTGGTGGAACTCCTAGGTTGCCACCTCACGACCCAGCTGGACTGTCTACACCCAGACCACACTCCGGAGGAGGCACCGGTCACCGAAGCGCATGAAGCAACCAGGGGATTCTTTCCAGAGGATCCCGTGTACGCCAGGAATTATGCACGGGGTCCAGCCTGGATTCCAGCTCGAGTCGTGAGAATCAAGGGCCCCAGATCATACGAGGTCTCCAGTGAGGACGGCCAAATCCTACACCGTCATATTGACCAGCTGTGCCGACAGACACTGCCTCTGGACCCTGAGGACTTTGAAACCCTTGACCCCCCAGAACCCACAACACCACCACAAACATCAACCTCACCAGCGACGCCTGCCGTGGAGCCCGTGCCCTTCCCCGTGGGCGCACCCGAGGACAACCTCCTGGCTGCATATGGAGCACTGGCACCATGGCCCATGGCGCCAACCCCGGCCAGCACTCCGCCGGATGCATCGGCAGTGGAGCCAGCCCCGGTCCCCGAGCTGCACCGCTCTAACTGCACCAGGAAAGCACTGGCACACCTTAAGGACTTTATCTATGGGTGTGTTGCGGACCAAGGGGGAAGTGGTGTAGTGTATCCAGTTGGGACCGTGTGGCCGGCTTGGGCTCCATGCGGTCAAGTGCAAACGTCGAGCTTCGCTCAAGGAAACAATGAATTAAGCGGATCCTAGCCTGCACCTATCAGAGGGCTAGGTTCCTGGCCGAGAGCCTATAGAACTCTCGGCCACTGTAAACAACCTATTGTGATGTGGGGGTGTGTTCTGGGTGGTGGTTTCATGGGGAATATAAGCCGGCCTGCGAGCTGGCTAAAGTTGTCTTGTTCCTCACTAAATAAAGTATGTTAGCTGAAATCACTCGCCTATCTGCGTACTTTTCAGGGCTTTTCTGCCCCGCTGGTTCTCCTGCCAGCATGCTGATCTCATGGGAGGCAAACCTCAGTCACCCGGGGGCATGTGGAGCCCAGCTCCTTCCCCCCCCCCCAACAAACAAATGCATACAATAAGTAATTTAAGTTATATCACTTAATATTTTAGGTTATTAGTGGTTTATTTATGTATTTTACAAATATTATATTCCTTTATAGGGAACAGAAATGTTTTAAGTTTGGGGTTGTACTTCTTTTACTGTGTACTAGTCAATGACTGTAATAAATTCACTTACTTACGCACGCAATGGGCTTTTCTGCCCCGCTAGTTCTCCTGCCGGCATGCTGATCTCACAGGAGGCAAAACTCAGGCACCCGGGTGCACATGGAGCCCAGCTCCCCCCCCCCCCAACAAACGCACACACACAATGGGCTTTTCTGCCCTGCCGGTTCTCCTGCCGGCATGCTGATCTCACAGGAAGCAAAACTCAAGCACCCGGGCACATGTGGAGTCCCAGTTAAAAAACAAACAAACACAATGATGGGCCTTTCACTACCCCTGCAGCTCTCCTGCCGCCATCCTCAGCCCACGGGAAGCAAAAACCAGCCACCCAGTCACATGTGGAGCCCAGCAAGGGAGAGACTTACCCGAGATGACCCGTGGGGCAGACTAACAGATCTTCCTGGGCAGCAGTAGCTCTCCACTAAGTCCCGGACTCCCACTACTAGCCAGCCGGCACAGCAGGAGGGCTCTTCCTGGAGTTTTAGTTGGAATCAAAAGTAGGGTTGGGCCTGCCTAAGCCCCTCCCTTTATAGGGCCTGCCCTGCAGCCAGGTGGCAGATCTCCAGCCAGTAAGTCAGCTGCCTTTGCCAGGCAAGTTGATGGTTGGGAGTGGGACTGGGAGGGCGGGGCCACCCACTCCTCGGGCCTGTGCGCTGGGCTAAAAATCCCTGCGCTGGGCCCCTGAAATTGCTGTGCTGGCACAGCCCAGCGCAGCTTACAGGGAACACTGCACTGCACACGCCTGTCCTGCAAGCCCCATATCCGCTGCCTGCAGGGCACGCACGCACAGCACCCACCCTTTCCAAGTGGGGGCCATCAGCTCCTGCCTTGCAAGAGGCAAGATCACTTCTTGCAAGGCAAGAGTGCATGGTGCCCATTCTTTCCAAGCTGGGGCAGCCGGCTCCTGCCTTGCAAGAGGAGATTTTGCCTCTTGCATGGCAGGAGCACCTGGCCCTCGCTTTCCCCCCACACACACCATTTAAAAGGAAGTTTCCCTCTAAATGGTAGGGG